ACAATTTAATAAATTCCTTGTCTGCACCTATTCCACCTTCATCTGCATCTTTTTCATTAGTATTTATCTCCCCAATAATGTCATTGATAAAATCAATCATCTCATCTATTGTTGGAGCTACATTGGCTACAATTGGAGGAGTGTCTACTTCACTGTGATAAATCCACTTCGTGTACCCAACTTGAAACCCATACCTATGTATGTGAGCCTCAACCACATATGGCGTCCAACGCATAAAGTTCATCACTTTTTGCATGGACATCTCACTACACCATCATTATTGACACGTTTCTTTGCTATCTCGATAAAGGCTTGAAGACCGATCCAAAACTCATCAGATTTACGACGTCTACATGTCGTCCAACTCTTTCCAGTCGTTATAATATACCGCTTCATCAGTGCACAGTTAGACTATATTTATGATCATACTAATAAAATCATTCTATTCCAAATTCTTTTTCAGATCAACCAACATGAAGGGTTAAGCTATAATAATAAAACAAGGTAAAGAAACAAAATTAAATAAGTTGCATATGCATCCAACTCATTACTTTCAGATAAGCTTGTAAGAACGTATGCAACCATCAAAAATACTGTCAAGTTTAACTTTACTTTCAATGATATATTAGGAAAAGACAACGTTAACCCATGCCATTAAGACCATTTACCCTCAAATCAAATGATATACGGAGTAAATATAACCCCAAAATTTATAAGATCACGAAATTAACTTAATTTATATGTCGTCGAAGGGTTAGGTTGTGATATGAGGAGACCAACACCACGTTTTGTGGTTAATATGTTGGGTTTCTTAAGATTAGAAAACTTGAAGATGGGGTTGGTTGATGAGTCTTTAGTTTAATGAACTCTCACCATACTTCCCCTCCGTAGCTTCATACAAAATTCAATTCAAATATTTAAGTCCAATGACAATCAACAATACATATATAAATCATAAACTATTCATATATTTATTTAAAAATAGAATGTAATCGTTGAGAAAACTCCCACGTTCTAAAAGTACCCAAGTACTCGTTACGATCCAGCACCAGTGTTGGAATTGGTTTTATGTACTCCAATCATTCAATAAAGATTGTTATATTAAATTCTAAATATTATATAAGATTTTATTCTCTTTCTTTTTTATTAATAAAATACCACCTTCTTTCTTCCTTGAAACAAAATGAATGCACCGTTCCATACATTGGTATAATATTCAATTAATTGCTTCTACCATTTTATTTTTGGAAAAAACAAGAAGGTTTACTTTTCAATTCACGTTATTTGTATAAATCGTACAAACTTTATTCAATCAATTATAATTTTTCATTTTGTTCATTTTTTTTTTATAAATATGAGAGGTTGATTAATCATTTTTATTGTGGAACGTGTTAATTATGGATATTATCATCTTCATTATTTTAATTGTAAATAAATACATGAAACAATTTCATTAAGTATTATATGAAACAATTTCATAATCATATATGAAACAACTTAATCAAAAAAAAGTATTATAGGAAACAATTTCATAAGATTAAACAATTTTATGAAAAAATTTCATAAGATTAAACAATAAAATCGACGGATGAGGGTGGTTTACACGGTTTATACAAATTAGATGGTTTGCAAATGATCATTCTCTGTATATATATATATATATATATATATATATATATATATATATATAGGAGCGATCAAATACAAACCACTCAATTTGTACA